GTCTGGCTGAGACTGGAGGAACCCTGGAAAGCACGGCCCCCAGACTCTCTATCAGCCCAGAACTAAAACAATTTCCGAGGCCAACTCTTCAGACAGGCATTGTACCGGACTGTGGGACATAAAGTGATACTTGTGAGGAGTGTACCTCTTAGCTCAAACAGATACAAGAGACTAAACAGGCAGGTTCTGTCTGGAGGTGAGATGGGAAGGCAGAGAGGGTTGGAGCTGGTTGAATGGACATGGGGAATCAGGGGTGGAAAGGAGTGTGCTGTCACAGTATGGGGAAAGCAATTAGGGTCACATAATGATGTATGTATACATTTTTGTATGGAAGACTAACTTGAAATGTAAACTTCATTTAAACTACAACAATAAACAAAAAAAAAAGGTCGGTTGTTCGAAACCGGAGAAAGATGTGACAGGCAGCTTACCTAATGATTTACAGCCTTGGAAACCCTACGGGGTCCCTATAAGTCGGAATCCACTCTATGGCATGGGTTCGGGTTAAGACCTCCAAGGCCTCCTGGGGGGATGAGCACCACAATTGGTCTAGGCGAGGGAAAAACAAGTTCCAAGGCCCTGAGGTGAGAAAGGACAGAGGGTGGCCAGTGCGGCGGTGAGGACAGCGTCGAAGAGGTCTAAGAGGGAGAAAAAGGGTCGCTCATGCGGAGCATTGCAGGCCCGGGTAGGAAGTGTGCATTTGATCCTAAGGTTGATGGAATCCCAGCGTCTGAAAGCCCTTTTGGTGCTCCGGGAGGGGCTTCTGGGGGAGGGGCATTCGTGGAGGGCCACATGGAAGGCGCTGGAATATTAGTTGAATGAATAAAAGCATAGATAGATGGATGGATGAGAGACGACATGCGGCCAGGACAAACAGCTGGTGCACAGGGGGCCCCAGACCCGCGGCCAGAAGCCCTAGTTCTAGGGCCAGCAGCCACGCGCTGTGACCTTGGACACGTCCCCGCCCTGGACCCGGGTCCCGGAACCGTGCCTGCGTCTCGAGGGCGGGGAGGACGTGCCTGGAAGGACCGTGCGCGCGCGCGCGCGCAGCGGGCCGACGGACGGTGGGTCCTCCGGGACCAGCCGTCTCCTGCATCCGCTTGTCC